ATATATGCAATTTGTGGGAGCAAGTTAGAGATCCTGAGATAATTATTATGCAATCTTACGATGAAGCAAAGTTGGTGAGAGCTTATGAGGCTTCTAGGGCTTGTTCTGCTCTACCGAACGGTATTTTGGAGCCCTATCAGTAATAATGAGTATGCGACTTAACAAGACTTACGTTACAAATTGATAATAAATGAAAAGGCATATTCTCAATGTTTTCAAACTATTACATCAAAATTTGTACTCACTCGATTTTGTAATGCTAGAGATCAGTACAAAAAACCGTTGTTCACAACCATCAGGGTCCCAAGATTAGCAAAATTCTCCAGAATGGCAATGTTTATATACTTTTCTCTCGTGTACAAGACCTGATCTTAACTCAAAGATCATATACTTTTTTATAACTGGATGATTGACGCCACCGAGTAAATGATCGAAGGAAATCACTTCTCACATTTTATTAGGTTTTGACTAGGATATTAGTGCTTAATCTTCTCATCGCTTGCAAACTGTATGATTGTTTTGGCTGTGACGGGGAGACATCGGAAGCTAGCTGTTTTTGATTGAACCAAGATAATTGTATTATAGTGTAAACCATGTAACAATGATTGTAACAGACTCAAACAATCTCAGGTGTTTTGCTGTATCAACTATGCTTGAATGAGACATCATATTGCATAATTATTCTATCAAAAGCGGAATCAGTTCCATACCGTCTGGTCTGCTTGGAAAGGTTCGAAATATGGATGAAAGTTGGATTGCCGCTGTTGTAATCTTCACGGTAAATTAGAATACCAGTTATTTCTTAAAACTAAAGTTTCTGAATTATTGTCTCTACAAATTTTAGATGTCGCTGCATGGATTGATTCTCAACATGATAGTAGTTATCTTTGCTAGTAAAGTAACTTCTCTAAAAAACGCATTTGGCCGACTATCCGTTAGCCAGTCTGCTGGAGAGGTCGTGTTTTGTTCTATATATTTTTTCTACTACAGTCCGATGGTTTTCTTGTGAGTATTTCAATCTTTGTACAACTCTTTGACAATGACTTGCGCTCTCATTGATAAATCCAAATTTAAATAAAACTCCAACCTCAAGCGCCCGGATAGATGGGCCGCCTAGTTGCAATTTCTCTTCCTATTTTCTTTCTCACATGAAGATGCAAATATTCAAGTTTGCCCCTTACCATAGTGTTTGAGTATCAACGAGAATAACACTC